TAGGAAAAAACTATCAGACTTATCAATTTTCTAAAAAGTTCTATTTAAGTATATCGGAAAAATGTAAATTTTTTGTTTATATGGACATCTTATAGTTGTCTGTGGGTGTCTTCATGCTTTACTAGTACCCTCAGTACGAGCGTATCCTGGTTGGTAACAAAAATGAACAAAAGATCGGAACAGAAACAGAGTCAAGTGTTTGCTTTTGGACTGTTTATTATGACAAACTGTTATTTTAGTAAAGTATAATGTAGAAATATTTTTTCATGCCAGGATACATGATCTTGCTTGATCATACTAACTTTCCATAAAACAAATAATGAGTAAAAAGTTCATCTCATCAACAAGAACTGCGTGTTACGATCACAAATATTGTGAAATATGTAATATAAAACAGACTAGTTTCATCAAGCTCTGAATTTTAGGTAGAAAAAAGAACTTGTGTGTGAAACAGATTCAGTAGTTTTGATCACGTCAGATGCCTTGTCCTGGTGTTTGCATTACAACCAGAAAGTGTATCACACATTGTGAAGAGTTTCGTAAATATGAAAGAGATTTTTGCTAAAGTCAGTTGTGTAAAGTGATTCATTTTTGGTAGTTAGTAGTTCCATTTTTGACAGATTACTGACCATAAACAAAACTAGTGGGTGAAATCTGTTTCTCTGTTATCATGGTGTACATAGAGTAAGCGAAATCAAATAAAGCGCTATCGCATGATACTAGATTAGGATGAGGAAGTATATTTCTTTCGTCTTTCTACGTTTCCAGGATTATTCTTTTATTCGTCAATGAGTATTCTTTTTAGTATATTCTTACATTCTGTTGCTTTTTCATTATGATTTCTTCTTTTTGTTGTCTAAATACAGCTTTTTTCTTTGGTGTTCTTGTATCTGTCTTTATTGTTTGTGATATTGCGGACTGATGTGTTAAATGAATTGTCGGATCTATCTCAGCCCATTTTTGTGTAAATTCATCTTGTTCATGTTTCAAATTAATATGCCAAATTAATTTTCCAATTTTATTTATAGTTTGTAAACAGCATAAACATTTGGTTGTATACAACGGTAAATGTTGATGAAGAACATGTTGTAACCATTGCATTTTTCCACTAAATGTTGACGTACATTTTAAACATTTGTACAATGTTTCTGTTGTTGATGGCGTTGGTTCTATTGTATCTACTGAACATTTTGGTAAAATAAACATCGACTTTTTCATTTGTAAATGTACATTTGATAAATGTGTTTGTAATTCAATCAAATTTTTCAGTGCACAATTACAGAGTGGACAGATTATTTGTCCAAATTTAAAATGATCACTTTGTAAATGAGCATTCAAATCATTTGATTCACCATTGTACGAACATAACCAACACTGATTTATTATTTTTTTAATTAATAATCGATAAGGTATTGTTAAGTCTAATAAATCAGACAAACAATTATGAAATGTTAGTGATAAATCATCGTCAAAATTAAATTCTACAGAGACTGTGGATGAATCGGACTAAAACCAAACAAAAAAGCAAATTATCTTTGTTTATTATATTGTTGTTATTGATTATTTATACAACTCTGTAAATACTATTTACCGTGTCATCAGTTGAATATGGTGTTTGTATTATAGTCATATTGGAAGGTCTTAAATATAATTGTTCGTTCACATCCATTTTATAGTCCACTTATCTAAAAATAAATATATCTATCGATTAGCCATTTTATTTACACGTGCTCTATGTAAAATAAATAACTTCAAGTTGTTTATTGTTAATGTGGGCGAATATGTTCGTTATGCTAGCTTAAAGTTACTCAACACGCGATTATATGAGAGGAAAAAAAAATTAAAATATCGATACAAACTCATCTTTTGTTCTTTTCTTGTTTCTTTTTTTCTTTTCTGACAGTTGTTGTTGATTTTATTTCTATCGCACATAGAGAAAAACAAAACAAAACTAAGAAAAATTTATTATCGTCATCGATCCATCATCAACAACAAACATTATCGTTGTTTCGTTACGCTTTTTTTCTCCTATTGCAGTCTTCGTCAACGCAACAAAAAAAAAAGATACGAACGAGAAAAATAAAGCACGCCGATACAAATAACATGAGATCTTATCATGTTGTGTTGTTCATGTATGAATGATAGAGAAACATTTTAACAATTTCCATATATAATAGACGGACTAAGTCTTTTTCTTTTCTCTTTCAATACACAATTATTGTCTATGTTGATGTTTTTTTGAACAAAGAAGAATGACGAAGTTTTTTTTTGTTCTGTCGATAAAAAAATGATTCAACGTATAAATAAACAGCAATGAGCATTAAATGAAAATTCATCTTCGGTTTGATATACTGCTTTTTTCTGTGAATTTATCATATGAAATATGGATTACATTCCAAACTCAACATTGTTACAACCTAAAGAAGAATTAATTATTACAACTGGAAAAAATATGATGTTAAAAACATACAATTGTTCTATTTGTCTTACAGAGTTGTTTGTGCATCTTTACTCGTCTGAGCACTTACTCAGTTGACAAAGATTTTATATGCGTATAATTTCTTGTTCATTTTTGCTGTTCGTTAGATTGAAATTACTATCACCATTGTCAATAACTCTCTTTTTCTTTTGTTCACAGCTCTGCATATACACATAACTATATATGTCTACTATCATACTTGCGTTTATCCTCACATAGAAAAAGAACTACTGTCGTTCGTTGTATGAAGATCATGAGCCATTGCTAAGGTGATTTTGAAGTGACCTAACAATGCATAGAGTAAGTATATAGACGTCTACGTGTAGTACGCGATAAAATGAAGAAAAGAAGAAAAAGCAATTTTTCTTCTCTATGAACAAAAAAAATCGATATTAATATACAAAGCGAGCTGTGCACACAAATATTTATGGGTAGCTAAAACTGTTTCTGTTTATCAAATCTACGATTGGTAAATAAAAAAATATCTGAATTGTCTTGTCAATACTGCTGTGTGAAAAAAATTGACAGTTTCTTTTTTTTCTTCGTCGTATAGTCTACGAAATAGTTTGTTATTTTCTATCTTATTCTCTTTCCAAACGGACGGAAATAAAGAAAAAAAAAACATATAGACAGACCTTTTTGCATTTCCTTCTCCAACATTTACATTCAGTTCTTTTTCCACTTTTTTTTGTACGATATCGACGCTTTTAATCGCTGAATCGATATTAACGATGGCAAAAAAATAATGAATTAACATCCACTATTTACGTTCTATATACAAAATCTTTTTCCTTCTTATCTGACAGGAATAAGATCAAAATGACCATTTATTTGATATTATTTCAAGGTACAAAACTAATTATTGTCAAATGATCGATGTGCGAATAAATAATATCTGAAATATGGAATATTAACTATAAGAGTAGCTGACAACGTTTTTGATCAAGTATTTTGAATAAAATAATTGCTTAAGATATTGATTAATTGAATCAACAGTAGTAGACTTGTTAAATTACTCCTCAGATTCATTGCCATTAAAGTAATGGTTAATTTAATTTGTTTTCAGTTTTTTATAAAAACAGACATTAAAACAATTTTTTATTAACAATAATTCATACGTTTCTAATCCTATAAAACGACTGACTGGACACTATTTAGTGTCAATTTTTTTAAATAAATGGGGAAAGATGAAGCTCATTTTAATGCAAACGTGACAAATAAAATTAAGATAAATTAGATGCTGCTCTCAGAGTTCGAACGCACGCAACGCAGATTAATCTCGTTTATGAGCTCTGTGCAGTTTTCGACATGTTGCTAATGTTGCAATACGGCATGTATAGAAGGCAGCTTTTTGCCTATTGTATGAATGTCCATTTATCTCGTACATGTACCTGTGCGGATTATCTGCCGACATATTGAACTCAAGTCGTGAATTAGCTTATATCGTTCATCCCTGGTTGAACACAAATGTAGCATGTTCAAGCGTATTTATTTCGTTTTGTTTGAAACGGCGTGACGATGGAAATCGGACAGCTGTAATGAACTTAACCGCAAGTACAGATTAAAATGTATGAAAGTTAGGCCGTCATAATACACGAAAATAATCATTACTAGGACAATTATCAATTATTCGGCTTACGTTTAAAACGTGTCTCGATATAAACTACTCTTAACACAGGTGTTTATTTCAAGTACAAGAATATGAAATGAAGAAGAGACTGATATTCAAAATAAGCAAAGTTCTAATTTTTATTAATTTGTATTTGGTAATTTATCGTTATCAGTATCTTGTATCACATGTATCTGTTGAAAATAAGACTTTAGATAATAATGCCTTTCACCCTTTTAACTAAAAAGTAATATTTTTTCAACTTATTGAGTTATTTCTTAAGATCGTTGAATCTATATAAAGATTCAAGCACAATAGTAAATCATAAATAGTAAACATTAAATCTAAAGTAAATAGTAGTGTTGTTCTTCATATGAAAAAAAGAAGTAAAAAGCTAAATCAAATTAGTAAGATTTATTTCATAGAATGTTTGAAATTGTGGTAGAAGGCTACTTTCATTTTTAATTCCCTATAAATTGCTCAACAAATGCTATAGACTACTCTCATTTTTCTGCAGAAACGTTTTATTCTCTAGATATTTTCTGCTAGCCATATCTATAGGAAAAAGAATTGGCTCAATTCAAAAAATAATCGAGAAGCTGTCATGTTTTTTTGATTTATATTATTGTGATCGTCAATTCTTTTTTACTTTCTTTTGAATAAAGTACAAAAGTTATAGTCTAAATTAAACAAAACCAATTGAGAAGCCTGTTCGAATCATGCAAAAAGGCAAAAGAAGCACTAACAGGTTTTATCTAATAATTTTCAGTTAATTTAAATATTTTACTTTTTTCTATAGAAAATATGAACGTGGACATTGATTTAAAACATATAAAAATAAAACTATATTATATGACAGAATACAGGCTCAAGCTCCATCTGTTTGTCATTTGTTAAAACTCTTTAAAATTGTTGAAGAACACTGCAAAACAATATTACACAACAACAGCTTTTGATACAATAGCAGCTAATGAAACATGTGAAGATTTTTCTCCTTGTACATTGAAGTCATAATCCAGTTCAAGTTCATGTCATCAGCATTCTCTTCACCTAATAAACGCATGCCAACTTTATCGTCAGACAGCGATGATCGTCAACGTAGTCTAGTAATCACAACTACTCGATATATTCTTCTTCTTGTGGTAAATACGGAAGGCGTTTTGGTATGCGTGATGATTTCCATCATCGAACCACAGCAGCAACAAAACCATGACGCAAGAAAGCAGTAAAAAAATCTTCATAAAAAAAACGTACGTTACTGCAAGTGGAAGTTCATTATTTGAACGTCAAAAAATGCTCCAGCGAAGACGTTTTAAGTAAGAAATATAGCACTGCGACTACGTTTTATTGATAAAAGGATGATCAAACCAAGGTTTTGAAATCAGATTATCTTGTCCATATTAGTTTTATAACAAATTGCAGCACGAAACAATTGAAAGATGAACTGAAAGCAGCGAAAAAACCTATTGAAAATAATGGAATAACTAATATCAAAATTCTTGGCCATGATAGCAAAATAGCAACTAACATAAATGGTGTTTTATAAGAAAAAAGAACGTTGTTGATGTTGGTGTTCCTGCCAGTATAGAAAAGATAAAGATATAGACGAATTGATTGAAAAAATGAAATCAGCATGAAATCAAGCATCATTTAATCAGACGACAAAACGAAAAAGAAATTAAATTAAAGAAACACTCTTATTTTTGTTTAATTGACAATTTAAATCACTCTAAACGTTTATATTTACACTTTTAAGATTTTTGTTGTGTTTTTATAATTTAATATATTTTCGTTTTTTTATGACTTTTTGTTATTTTTGACATGAAAAAGAGAAATAAAAATATAATAGTCTTGATTTGGTATGGACACAGCTAACGTCTGTAATTTTATAAATTACTGTCACTATTCTTAATTGTAAATCAAATATAAATATGTCAGATATTAAACTAGCGAATGATGAGTAACAACAAAAAGTTTTAGTTATAAAAAACTACATGAAAGTTAATGACACTAAGTCTTCCTGGGTAAGGATAGAACAAAAAAATTTGTTTCATAGCTTTTTAACTTACCTCGACTGTCAGAATCCGCATTATCTCGATGCTTCTGAAATGTTAACCCTTATCTTACAATAAAAACGATTGCTCTTATTATAACATTCAAATATTCTCCATTGCTAGCTCTTTTTTCGTGATGCTGTTGATTAATCATTTTTAACACGTCATTATTATTCTTTTGATTATCTATGGTATTTATGTAGGTATCGTTAGCGTGCTTGTATATAATTATTGATTAATGTTTATATTAAGAGCCACAGTCAGAAGAAGACAGATAATTGAATCTTCTGATTAATTCTGATCATAAACAAACAGAATTGGAATAAAACACATTTTTGTACACCAGCAGTCATTTATTTACGAAGTTTGTTTAATTTTGTTGTATGTCTCTAATTTAGGTTA